TGTTAGAAAATTTGAATATATAGGAAACAAGACTGCATGAAGAAAAGTGCATTGTTACTGTGCAGTTAAATTTTGGCTTCTGGCTTCCTTTAGCTTGAACAACATCCTTGTCTGCCATGATGGATAGTAATAGATGTCATCTCTGCAACAGAAACAGAATAGTGGTGGCGAATTTCTAGAATGTTTAAAAAAAACACACACACACCCATGTGCCTTTTCAAAACCAACTAAACTTCTATAAAGCATCTCTAGTTCTTTCAAAATTTGTGTTGTAAGCAGTGTAGGTGATGCTGTAGTACTTTACATTTTTTTGCCTATAATGACAGCTACCAATTCTTTTTCACTTAGATTGAGAAATTTCATTTAATGGCAGCTGAAGGGCCATTTTCAATTGGGAAAATTCATGTATATCTGTGGTAAACTTTATTTTGATAAAAAGTTGCACTAGTAATTTTACCACCAGATGAAAACGAGATGAGCATCATTTAAAAATTAATGTATTTAAAACAAAGTACAGAGAAAAACATGTATATAATATATCAGGCTTTGTTTTGAATGAATCTTTTCCCCCAATCCTTAATATAAAGATCTTGTGCTATAAATTTTAAAGCCATACAAATAAGAATGCTAAACTGTGGACTTAAAAGTAGGTGTGTAAATATTTTTAATCAGTATTACTTGGAAAATAAAATATAACAACTACAGAAAATAAACCAATATGCTATTTTCTTTACCTGTTAAATATTGGGAGATATTTATATTTTTAGAGTAAACTTTAAAATTAAAAAAAAAAAGAGGAGGCTTCTCTCAGCAATAGGTATGTGGGAGGGACCCCGAGTTTGCTGCCTCAAGTGGAATATACAGCGAGAAGCCCTAACGTGAAAGGAGGCCGGATTTCCTTGCAGTGGCTTGAATACAGGCTGGTCTTTCATCTCACAACATGAAGGGATGTCTGAATCCCCTGTGGAGACCTTAGAGAAAGCCCTAGGTCCCTGCCTCATTTTGACGGAAGGCCTCACATCTCGTTGACACCTCGAGAGGCACGCGGAGTTTACTGCTTCAAAAGGTGACGATGCCTGACTCCTCTTGAATACTGATAGGAATCCCCAAATCACTGTGGCTACTGGAAAGGGTCTTTGGGTGCCCTGCGTCAGCTCGAGAAGCGTCGCTTTTGCCCTGGCAAGCCTCGAAGGGATTCGTGAGGTGTCCCTCGTTACTAGACAGGAGTCCTGACGTCACTGAATAAACACGTGTTTTGAAGGGCCATCCCCGCCGTAACTCGAGAACATACCCCAGGTCCCCGCCGCAACTCGAGAAAAACCATGACACTTCACCTTAGATGCGATATGAGGCCCGATTCCACTGCATTGCTTGCAGAGCAATTCCGTGATCCCCATTAAACAAGTCAGGAGCTTCGACTTGCTTAATGGATCTCGAGAGAGTCCCCAAGTACACTGTCACAAGTCTAGACGGATCCTGAGGTCACCCCAGCAACGCACAGCAGCTCCGTGTGCCCCAAAAAAACTCGAGATGAGGCCCGATTCCCCTGCATTGACTCCAGAGCCATCCCCCGTTCCACATTCAACACGACCAGTGGCTTGACTTCCTTCAGGCAACTCCAGAGATGCCCAGAGAACACTGTTCCAAGTCTAGAGGAACACCAACTTCAGCACAGCAACTCGAGGAATGCTCCGTGTACCCCAAATCGTCTCGAGATGAGAGCTGATTTCCTGGCTTTGGCTCAAGACGTATGCCAACTCTCCAGAAGCACCTCAAGAGTAGGCTTCTCTCAGAAATAGGTGTGTGTGACGGACCCCGAGTTTGCTGCCTCAAGGGGAATATACAGCGAGAAGCCCTAACTTGAAAGGAGGCCGGATTTCCTGGCAGTGGCTTGAATACAGGCTCATCTTTCATCTCACAACATGAAAGGATGTCTGAAGCCCTAGTGGAGACCTTAGAGAAAGCTCTAGGCCCGTGCCTCATTTTGACGGAATGCCTCACATCCCGTTGACACCTCGAGAGGCAGGCGGAGTTCACTGCTTCAAAAGGTGACGATGCCTGACTCCTCTTGAATACTGATAGGAATCCCAAAATCCCTGTGGCTACTGGAAAGGGTCCTTGGGGGCCCTGCCTCACCTCGAGAAGCGTCCCTTTTGCCTGGCCAAGCCTCGAAGAGATTCGTGAGGTGTCCCTCGTTACTAGACAGGAGTCCTGACGTCACTGAATAAACACGTGTTTTGAAGGGCCATCCCCGCCGTAACTCGAGAACATACCCCAGGTCCCCGCCGCAACTCGAGAAAAACCATGAGACTTCACCTTAGATGCGATATGAGGCCCGATTCCACTGCATTGCTTGCAGAGCAATTCCGTGATCCCCATTAAACAAGTCAGGAGCTTCGACTTGCTTAATGGATCTCGAGAGAGTCCCCAAGTACACTGTCACAAGTCTAGACGGATCCTGAGGTCACCCCAGCAACGCACAGCAGCTCCATGTGCCCCAAATCAACTCCAGATGAGGCCCGATTCCCCTGCATTGACTCCAGAGCCATCCCCCGTTCCACATTCAACACGACCAGTCGCTTGACTTCCTTCAGGAACTCCAGAGATGCCCAGAGAACACTGTTGCAAGTCTAGAGGAACACCAACTTCAGCACAGCAACTCGAGGAATGCTCCGTGTACCCCAAATCGTCTCGAGATGAGAGCTGATTTCCTGGCTTTGGCTCAAGACGTATGCCAACTCTCCAGAAGCACCTCAAGAGTAGGCTTCTCTCAGAAATAGGTGTGTGTGACGGACCCCGAGTTTGCTGCCTCAAGGGGAATATACAGCGAGAAGCCCTAACTTGAAAGGAGGCCGGATTTCCTTGCAGTGGCTTGAATACAGGCTCATCTTTCATCTCACAACATGAAAGGATGTCTGAATCCCTTGTGGAGACCTTAGAGAAAGCTCTAGGCCCGTGCCTCATTTTGACGGAATGCCTCACATCCCGTTGACACCTCGAGAGGCAGGCGGAGTTCACTGCTTCAAAAGGTGACGATGCCTGACTCCTCTTGAATACTGATAGGAATCCCAAAATCCCTGTGGCTACTGGAAAGGGTCCTTGGGTGCCCTGCCTCACCTCGAGAAGCATCGCTTTTGCCCTGGCAAGCCTCGAAGAGATTCCGGAGGTGTCCCTCGTTACTAGACAGGAGTCCTGACGTCAGTGAATAAACACGTATTTTGAAGGGCCATCCCCGCCGTAACTCGAGAACATACCCCAGTTCCCTGCCGCAAATCGAGAAAAACCTTGAGACTTCCCCCTAGAGGCGAGATGAGGCCCCATTCCCCTGCAGTGCATGCAGAGCTATTCCGTGATCCCCATCAAACAAGTCAGGAGCTTCGACTTGCTTAATGGATCTCGAGACAGTCCCCAAGTACACTGTCACAAGTCTACACGGACCCTGAGGTCACCCCAGCAACGCACAGCAGCTCCACGTGCCCCAAATCAACTCGAGATGAGGCCCGATTCCCCTGCCTTGACTCCAGAGCCATCCCCCGTTCCCCATTCAACACGACCAGTGGCTTGACTTCCTTCAGGTAACTCCAGAGATGCCCCGAGAACACTGTCCCAAGTCTAGAGGAACACCAACTTCAGCACAGCAACTCGAGGAATGCTCCGTGTACCCCAAATCGTCTCGAGATGAGAGCTGATTCCCTGACTTAGTATCAAGACATATGCCAACTCTCCAGAAGCACCTCAAGAGTAGGCTTCTCGTTCCCTGCGTGAGTGCCGGCCCGGTCGGGTCGGGGGAGAGGAGGGAGGGCGGGGGAGGGAGAGGCGACCCGGGAGTCGTTGTGGGCCGTGGGCCGGACCGGGTCCGGGAAGGCGGGAGCCAGGGCCGGGCCGAGGGGCTTGGCGGGCCGTTAGCGGGCCGCGCCGGCTGTAGGGTCTCCTCCCCTGCCGGACTTGCGCGCCCCGGCGCTAGGAGCGTCCGGTGCTGTGCCCACCCCGCTCCAGCTCGCGTCTCCTGACTCCAGTTAGGTCAGGCTCGGAGTCCCGTGGCCGCGGCTCTGGCCCCCAACGCGCGGCGGCCGCCCGGCTCGCCTTTCTTTCTTCCCTCGCCTTCCTCTCCTCTTGCCTCACCCTCCCCCTTTCTTTCACGTTGCTGGGGTTTTGTTTTTTTTGTTGTTATTTTGTGCTTTAGGGGTTTTGTTCCTCAGCCCGAGCTCATGGGTGTACATTATCATGCTCCTCTTTTGTAGAGCAACCGGACGGCCATGGAGGCCGAAGAGACGATGGAATGCCTTCAGGAGTTCCCTGAACATCATAAAATGATCCTGGACCGATTGAATGAACAGCGAGAGCAGGACCGGTTTACTGACATCACCCTGATTGTCGACGGACACCATTTTAAGGCCCACAAGGCTGTTTTGGCTGCTTGCAGCAAGTTCTTCTATAAATTCTTTCAGGAGTTTACTCAGGAACCTTTGGTGGAGATAGAAGGTGTTAGTAAAATGGCCTTTCGTCATTTGATTGAGTTCACATATACAGCAAAGTTAATGATACAAGGAGAAGAAGAAGCCAATGATGTATGGAAATCAGCAGAGTTTCTACAGATGCTAGAAGCTATCAAAGCCCTTGAAGTCAGAAACAAAGAAAACTCAGCTCCACTAGAGGAAAATACCACAGGGAAAAATGAAGCAAAAAAAGAAAGATTGCAGAAACTTCAAATGTTATCACTGAGTCATTGCCATCTGCAGAATCTGAACCGTTTGAAATTGAGGTGGAGATTGCCGAAGGCACAATCGAAGTGGAAGATGAAGGCATCGAAACGTTGGAGGAAGTGGCTTCTGCCAAGCAGTCCATAAAGTACATTCAGAGCACAGGTTCCTCTGATGATTCCGCTCTGGCATTGTTGGCAGATATTACCAGCAAGTACCGCCAAGGCGATAGAAAAGGGCAGATTAAAGATGAAGACGGCTGTGCATCTGACCCCACAAGCAAACAGGTAGAAGGAACACATGAAATCACACTCCACTGAGAGTTTCAAGTGTGAAATATGCAATAAAATGTATCTTCGGGAGAGCGCGTGGAAACAGCACCTCAGTTGTTACCACCTGGAAGAAGGTGGAGTCAGTAAGAAGCAGAGAACTGGGAAAAAAATACACATATGTCAGTACGTTGAGAAGCAGTTTGACCACTTTGGACATTTTAAAGAGCATCTTCGAAAACATACAGGTGAAAAACCTTTTGAATGTCCAAATTGTCATGAACGATTTGCTAGAAATAGTAGCCTCAAATGTCACTTGACTGCATGCCAAACTGGAGTGGGAGCAAAAAAGGGTTGAAAGAGGCTCTATGAATGTCAGGTCTGTAATAGTGTGTTTCACAGCTGGGACCAGTTCAAAGATCACCTGGTGATACACACTGGAGATAAACCCAACCATTGTACTCTGTGTGACTTGTGGTTTATGCAAGGAAATGAATTAAGGAGGCATCTCAGTGATACTCATAATATTTCAGAGCGCCTGGTAACTGAAGAAGTTCTTTCAGTAGAAACACGTGTGCAAACTGAACCTGTGACGTCAATGACTATTATAGAACAAGTTGGGAAGGTGCATGTGTTACCACTGCTCCAGGTTCAGGTGGACTCAGCACAAGTGACTGTGGAACAGGTCCATCCAGATCTGCTCCAGGACAGCCAAGTGCACGAGTCGCACATAAGTGAGCTTCCAGAGCAGGTCCAGGTAAGTTATCTAGAAGTGGGGCGAATTCAGACTGAAGAAGGTACTGAAGTCCATGTAGAGGAGCTGCATGTTGAACGGGTAAATCAGATGCCAGTGGAAGTACAAACTGAGCTTCTAGAAGCAGACTTGGATCAAGTGACCCCTGAAATCATGAACCAAGAGGAGAGAGAGCCTACCCAGGCAGATGCTGCTGAGGCTGCTACAGAAGAATACGAAGATGCTGAGGCTTTAGAGACCAAATCAACAGTGGATTCCCAAGCCGAAAAGGCAGGAAATGAGAACAGAACACCTATGCCAGTTTTAGAATGAAATAACAAATGCATATATTTTTAAAGTTATCTGTTGGGTTTTTGAACTGATGATGGGCAGTGTGACTGTCCTTACGCTAACAGACATGTGGACCAAAGTTAAACTTTCCTGTTGTGCTGAACTGTTTCTATGGAAGCAGACTGATTTCCCCCCACTTTGCCACAGAGGAGGGAACTTTCCCATAAGTGAATGGGAAGCTTTGAGAAGTATATTTCTAGAAAACTTAAAATGGATTACATTCTTATTATATAGTTGGGTACGAATGTATATTTTCATTGTGGTAAGAGTTCTTACTCTCCTTCCCTGGACATGTCCTTCCTCAATTCCCCCCCCCTCCCCCCGCCCCATGTTGTAAAATCAAATGTAAAATCATTAAAATACAAGTTTATGTATTCTAATGCATGTTAGAAAATTTGAATATATAGGAAACAAGACTGCATGAAGAAAAGTGCATTGTTACTGTGCAGTTAAATTTTGGCTTCTGGCTTCCTTTAGCTTGAACAACATCCTTGTCTGCCATGATGGATAGTAATAGATGTCATCTCTGCAACAGAAACAGAATAGTGGTGGCGAATTTCTAGAATGTTTAAAAAAAACACACACACACCCATGTGCCTTTTCAAAACCAACTAAACTTCTATAAAGCATCTCTAGTTCTTTCAAAATTTGTGTTGTAAGCAGTGTAGGTGATGCTGTAGTACTTTACATTTTTTTGCCTATAATGACAGCTACCAATTCTTTTTCACTTAGATTGAGAAATTTCATTTAATGGCAGCTGAAGGGCCATTTTCAATTGGGAAAATTCATGTATATCTGTGGTAAACTTTATTTTGATAAAAAGTTGCACTAGTAATTTTACCACCAGATGAAAACGAGATGAGCATCATTTAAAAATTAATGTATTTAAAACAAAGTACAGAGAAAAACATGTATATAATATATCAGGCTTTGTTTTGAATGAATCTTTTCCCCCAATCCTTAATATAAAGATCTTGTGCTATAACTTTTAAAGCCATACAAATAAGAATGCTAAACTGTGGACTTAAAAGTAGGTGTGTAAATATTTTTAATCAGTATTACTTGGAAAATAAAATATAACAACTACAGAAAATAAACCAATATGCTATTTTCTTTACCTGTTAAATATTGGGAGATATTTATATTTTTAGAGTAAACTTTAAAATTAAAAAAAAAAAGAGGAGGCTTCTCTCAGCAATAGGTATGTGGGAGGGACCCCGAGTTTGCTGCCTCAAGTGGAATATACAGCGAGAAGCCCTAACGTGAAAGGAGGCCGGATTTCCTTGCAGTGGCTTGAATACAGGCTGGTCTTTCATCTCACAACATGAAGGGATGTCTGAATCCCCTGTGGAGACCTTAGAGAAAGCCCTAGCTCCCTGCCTCATTTTGACGGAAGGCCTCACATCTCGTTGACACCTCGAGAGGCACGCGGAGTTCACTGCTTCAAAAGGTGACGATGCCTGACTCCTCTTGAATACTGATAGGAATCCCCAAATCACTGTGGCTACTGGAAAGGGTCTTTGGGTGCCCTGCGTCAGCTCGAGAAGCGTCGCTTTTGCCCTGGCAAGCCTCGAAGGGATTCGTGAGGTGTCCCTCGTTACTAGACAGGAGTCCTGACGTCACTGAATAAACACGTGTTTTGAAGGGCCATCCCCGCCGTAACTCGAGAACATACCCCAGGTCCCCGCCGCAACTCGAGAAAAACCATGACACTTCACCTTAGATGCGATATGAGGCCCGATTCCACTGCATTGCTTGCAGAGCAATTCCGTGATCCCCATTAAACAAGTCAGGAGCTTCGACTTGCTTAATGGATCTCGAGAGAGTCCCCAAGTACACTGTCACAAGTCTAGACGGATCCTGAGGTCACCCCAGCAACGCACAGCAGCTCCGTGTGCCCCAAAAAAACTCGAGATGAGGCCCGATTCCCCTGCATTGACTCCAGAGCCATCCCCCGTTCCACATTCAACACGACCAGTGGCTTGACTTCCTTCAGGCAACTCCAGAGATGCCCAGAGAACACTGTTCCAAGTCTAGAGGAACACCAACTTCAGCACAGCAACTCGAGGAATGCTCCGTGTACCCCAAATCGTCTCGAGATGAGAGCTGATTTCCTGGCTTTGGCTCAAGACGTATGCCAACTCTCCAGAAGCACCTCAAGAGTAGGCTTCTCTCAGAAATAGGTGTGTGTGACGGACCCCGAGTTTGCTGCCTCAAGGGGAATATACAGCGAGAAGCCCTAACTTGAAAGGAGGCCGGATTTCCTGGCAGTGGCTTGAATACAGGCTCATCTTTCATCTCACAACATGAAAGGATGTCTGAAGCCCTAGTGGAGACCTTAGAGAAAGCTCTAGGCCCGTGCCTCATTTTGACGGAATGCCTCACATCCCGTTGACACCTCGAGAGGCAGGCGGAGTTCACTGCTTCAAAAGGTGACGATGCCTGACTCCTCTTGAATACTGATAGGAATCCCAAAATCCCTGTGGCTACTGGAAAGGGTCCTTGGGGGCCCTGCCTCACCTCGAGAAGCGTCCCTTTTGCCTGGCCAAGCCTCGAAGAGATTCGTGAGGTGTCCCTCGTTACTAGACAGGAGTCCTGACGTCACTGAATAAACACGTGTTTTGAAGGGCCATCCCCGCCGTAACTCGAGAACATACCCCAGGTCCCCGCCGCAACTCGAGAAAAACCATGAGACTTCACCTTAGATGCGATATGAGGCCCGATTCCACTGCATTGCTTGCAGAGCAATTCCGTGATCCCCATTAAACAAGTCAGGAGCTTCGACTTGCTTAATGGATCTCGAGAGAGTCCCCAAGTACACTGTCACAAGTCTAGACGGATCCTGAGGTCACCCCAGCAACGCACAGCAGCTCCATGTGCCCCAAATCAACTCCAGATGAGGCCCGATTCCCCTGCATTGACTCCAGAGCCATCCCCCGTTCCACATTCAACACGACCAGTCGCTTGACTTCCTTCAGGAACTCCAGAGATGCCCAGAGAACACTGTTGCAAGTCTAGAGGAACACCAACTTCAGCACAGCAACTCGAGGAATGCTCCGTGTACCCCAAATCGTCTCGAGATGAGAGCTGATTTCCTGGCTTTGGCTCAAGACGTATGCCAACTCTCCAGAAGCACCTCAAGAGTAGGCTTCTCTCAGAAATAGGTGTGTGTGACGGACCCCGAGTTTGCTGCCTCAAGGGGAATATACAGCGAGAAGCCCTAACTTGAAAGGAGGCCGGATTTCCTTGCAGTGGCTTGAATACAGGCTCATCTTTCATCTCACAACATGAAAGGATGTCTGAATCCCTTGTGGAGACCTTAGAGAAAGCTCTAGGCCCGTGCCTCATTTTGACGGAATGCCTCACATCCCGTTGACACCTCGAGAGGCAGGCGGAGTTCACTGCTTCAAAAGGTGACGATGCCTGACTCCTCTTGAATACTGATAGGAATCCCAAAATCCCTGTGGCTACTGGAAAGGGTCCTTGGGTGCCCTGCCTCACCTCGAGAAGCATCGCTTTTGCCCTGGCAAGCCTCGAAGAGATTCCGGAGGTGTCCCTCGTTACTAGACAGGAGTCCTGACGTCAGTGAATAAACACGTATTTTGAAGGGCCATCCCCGCCGTAACTCGAGAACATACCCCAGTTCCCTGCCGCAAATCGAGAAAAACCTTGAGACTTCCCCCTAGAGGCGAGATGAGGCCCCATTCCCCTGCAGTGCATGCAGAGCTATTCCGTGATCCCCATCAAACAAGTCAGGAGCTTCGACTTGCTTAATGGATCTCGAGACAGTCCCCAAGTACACTGTCACAAGTCTACACGGACCCTGAGGTCACCCCAGCAACGCACAGCAGCTCCACGTGCCCCAAATCAACTCGAGATGAGGCCCGATTCCCCTGCCTTGACTCCAGAGCCATCCCCCGTTCCCCATTCAACACGACCAGTGGCTTGACTTCCTTCAGGTAACTCCAGAGATGCCCCGAGAACACTGTCCCAAGTCTAGAGGAACACCAACTTCAGCACAGCAACTCGAGGAATGCTCCGTGTACCCCAAATCGTCTCGAGATGAGAGCTGATTCCCTGACTTAGTATCAAGACGTATGCCAACTCTCCAGAAGCACCTCAAGAGTAGGCTTCTCGTTCCCTGCGTGAGTGCCGGCCCGGTCGGGTCGGGGGAGAGGAGGGAGGGCGGGGGAGGGAGAGGCGACCCCGGAGTCGTTGTGGGCCGTGGGCCGGACCGGTCCGGGAAGGCGGGAGCCAGGGCCGGGCCGAGGGGC